GCTGTGGCTCAAGTAGTAGCATGCTAGCCTTGAGCTGAAGAGGTGAGGGACAGTGCCTAGACCTGGAGTTCAGGCCCCAGGACTAACAAAAAAAAAAAAAACAAAAAAAAAAAACAAAAAAGTAGCTGACTTAACTGAAAAACAAGACACTTGCTAGTTTAAAAATGGACTGGAAGTTGCCCAAGTGACAAGAATGAAGAGTGTTGTAAGCAGAGGAAATAGCAAGAGAGTATGGGGATTTGGGGAAATGAAACAATGGCAATAGGGCTGGAGCTAAACGGGAAGATGTAGGCAGAGGTGGTTCTATGGATGAATAGTGAGCCTCAGCATTCGGGTGCATCCAAAGAGGAATGGAGAGATTTAGGTAGTGGAGTGAGGTAAGTTTGTGTTTTGGTGCTAGGAATCAAACCTGGGGTCTTGTAGATGCTAGGCAAGTATTTTGTCACTGAGCTACATACACTCTCAGCCCCAAGTCTGTAGGCTGTATTTTGTTAGTTTATTTATTAATTATTTATTTTTGACAGGGTCATGCTATGTTGCCCAGACTAACCTTGAACTCACAATCTTCCTGTCTCAGCTTCCTCAATGCTGGGATTGTAGGCATATGATGGTTGGAGGAATTCTGGGCACAAATGCAGCTCCTGGTCTTGGGAGTGAGAAGCTTGGCTGGGGACCTGCGGTCCTCTATTTCAGGGTCAGAGTGAGGAGTCAGCTCTAGCGAGCAAGGCTGATCCGAGTGGTAAAGGGAACGCAGGGATGTGCACTGCGCGCTTTGGGGAGCTTGAATGAAATGGCTGCAAGTGAAAGTCTTGGTAAGCTAGAATTTAAGTTAAAAAATAGCACTTAGCAATTTAAGTTCTATCATTCCCTTTAGGATATCAGTTAGGTTTTCTTTTCTTTTGTTTTCTTTTCTTTTTAATCTACAAGATTCTACCTTAAAAATGAATACTCTATTTTCAGGTCAGTATTTTTCCTCTAGTGCCACACACACACACACACACACACACACACACACACACACACACTTTTTGATAACTATAATAGTTGACATTTCCATTTTGAAGGGGATAGAATTTATGGTTTCGTAATGGTCCTTTTAATGGCTGTGTAATACTCCTTGCAATCATAGTTCAGAGATTTATAAAAGAATATGGATGTTTTCATTAAAACCATAGGAGCAAACCCATAGCTCACGCCAGGAGACTCCGATCTAGAGGATCAAGGTTTGAAACTAGTTTGGACAGGAAAGTCTGAGACTATCTCAAAACAATAACCAGCACAAAGGCAGTGCTACAGGTTTGGCTCAAGTGGTAGAGTGTCAGCTAAACCAGCAAGCTAAGCAAGCTTGAGACCCTGAGTTCAAACCCCATTACTGAAAAAATAACACCCCAAAAACCCCCACAAACATTATGGGAACAAAACCAGATGCAGGTGGTTCAAGCCTATAATCCTATCTACTCAAGAAGCTGTGATCTGGAGAATGGAAGTTTGAAGTTAGCCCAGAAAAAACATCCATGGGTTTCCATATCCAAACAATAGCAAGTAAAAAGCTGGGCTGGAGTGTGGCTCAAGTGGTGGATGGATCCATCACTTTCATATGGTCTTTTTGGCAGTTTTCTGTGTGACCCTATTTATTTAACAAGAAGTTGTTTCTTTCCTCACTCCAGCTGAAGAGAATGTAATGCAATGCAGGTCTATCTATATCATCAGCCAACTTGAGGTAGATTCCAGGGTGTGGGCCCCTCTTTGTGAAGAAGGAAAGAGGAAGAGAAAGGAGAACAGATTGTGAAGCGAGTTATGCGTACCTCTCAATTACAAGACTCTAGTTGAACATCTTCTACACACTAGTTGATCATTGAAATACTTGGTTAATAATCAAAACTCTATGAAGAACATGGTACTATTTTTTCAATACATTTTGATTATAAAAAACAGTACAGAGGGGTTACAGTTACACGAGTAAGGTAATGAGTACATTTCCTATCAAGCATTGTTACCTCCTCCTTTGTTTTTCCCCTATCATCCTTTCCTTCCCACCTCCCTAACTACTCCCCCGCACCCCCCCTCCAAAGTTGTAAAGTTCATTTTCAATGTAGTGTCTTGTACATCTCGTTGTTACAATGGGTCAACCTGTATCCCTATTTAAGCATTTTGTTTTCCCCCTCCCCCAATTAGAAAAGTGTATATACAGATGCAGGGCACCAGAATCAAATAGAGCAAAAACAGGGGTTATACTGTGTGGGAGGAACATACCAAAGAAACGATAAAATCACATAGTACATTATAAGTATGTTAAAAACAATAGCAAGAAAGAAAAAAGACCTGTGTCCCTGTCTTGGGGTTCATTTCGCTTAACATCATCTTATATGGTCATATGTACATAGATTTTGATCTTTTCTGCTTGTCCTAGACATATTCTAGTTATTGCAAAGAAGGGAAACCATGGGACCTATGTTTCTTTGGGCCTGGCTTACTTCACTTAATATAATTTTTTCCAAGTCTTTCCATTTCCTATTAAATGGGGCGATGTCATTCTTTCTGGTGGAGGCATAGAATTCCATTGTGCATATATATATGTGTATATATATATATATATATATATATATATATATATATATACCACATTTTCTTTTTTTTTTGGTCAGTCATGGGGCCTGAACTCTGGGACTGGGCGCTGTCCCTCAGCTCTTTAGCTCAAGGCTAGTGCTCTACCACTTGAACCACAGTGCCACTTCCAGCTTTTTTCTTTTTGCTTATGTGGTGTTAAGGAATCGAACCCAGGACCTCATGCATGCAAGGCAAGCGCTCTACCACTGAGCCACCTTCCCAGCCCTATGCCACATTTTCTTGATCCATTCATCTATTGAGGGGCATCTGGGTTTGTTCCATATCTTAGCTATTGTAAATAATGCTGCAATAAACATAGTTGTGCTGGTAGCTTTAGTATACCCTTGTTTGTATTGTTTGGGTAAATGCCCAAAAGTGGGATTGCTGGGTCATAGGGGAGCTTTATGTGGAGTCTTTTGAGGAACCTCCATACTGCTTTCCGAAGTGGTTGAACAAGTTTACACTCCCACCAACCTTTGTCCACATCCCCTCCAGCATCAGTTGTTATTAGATTTCTTGATTATAGCCATTCTAACTGGGGTGAGGTAGAATCTCAATGTTGTCTTGATTTGCATTTCTTTTATGGCTAGAGAAGTTGGACATTTCTTCATTAGTCTATTAGCCATTCTTATTTCCTCTTCAGAGAAGTCTCTCTTTAAGTCTTTACCCCACTTATTTATCAGGCAGTTGTTTCTTGGAAAATTTGTTGTTGGAGGATTTAATTTTTTGAGTTCTACGTATGGTTTAGATATGAGACTCGTGTCGGGTAATTGCATTCCACAGCTAAGGAAACCGGCTTAGTGATCTCCCCAGGGCCTCCAAGTACAGGGTGGATCTGGGATCTCAATCTCCTCTTTAGTTCTTCAAAGGCTTGCTTTCCACCACAGGTATTCAGTAGGATTTCAAGTAAAGAGCCAGTCATACTGTGCCCATCACTCTTAATGTTTTTACAATAGGAAGTCTGTGTATAACAAATAACTTATAAAGTAGTAAATGGAAAAGGTTTATGAAAATACACATGTAGGGTGTGGATCCACCATTAAAAATGAAATGTCCCTTGGGTCATTTTAGAACGAGACTAAAATTTGGATGGCTGGTTCAGTTCTGTTTCCAATAGTGAGGCTAAAGTAAATGCCTTTGTAAACTGTAGCACTTTACAGATTTTTAAGGGAGCAGTTATCTTCAAAAACTATTAGAGAACTGTGCACTTGGGGCTGGGAAGGTGGCTCAGTGGTAGAGCGCTTGCCTCGCATGCATGAGGCCCTGGGTTCGATTCCTCAGCACCACATAAACAGTAAAAAAGGCTGGAAGTGGCACTGTGGCTCAAGTGGTAGCATGCTAGCCTTGAGTTTAAGAGCTCAGGGACAATAGAGTTCAAGCCCCACGACTGACCCCCTCTCCCTCCCCCAAAAAAAAAGAAAAAAAAACTGTGCACTAGCCGATTAAAAAAGTTTCTTGATTACTTGGTATACACAAGAGTAACAGCAGCATTTGGCAACTCCATTGATAACTATCTAAAATCGTATTTTAGCCTGCAATTTTAATCTTTCTGAGATTGGGCTCTTTGTTAGAGCTTTAAAAAAAAAAGCATAAAAACAACCAAGAAAAGAGGTGTGAAATGGCAGTGAGATTACATTTCTTCTAATTTCGAGTCCTGCTCATTAGTAGATGTAATTAGTATAGAATAAGAAGATTAAGCCCAAACCAAAAACCCAAACAAACAAAACCACCAGAAAAAAACAAAAAGGGAAAACATGGGGGAGGAGGATATAAGGGTGACATTGATCAAGATGCATTGTACTCATAACCTGACATAGAATTGTCACCTTTCTGTACAACTACTTAATAAAAACAAAACAAAAAACAAAACAAAACAACGCCAGAAAGAGCCAGGTGTACGTGTTAATCCACAGCTACTACTGTGACACGGAAATGAGTTATGGGGTAAAGGCTTCATTCAGACCATCCCTGGGGACGCTCCGGTTCTGGACAGCCCCTTTGGCAATACACCAGGGTCTGAGTCTCCGGGCTCCCCGCAGTGGGAAGGAGGGACGCGCGTGGCCAGGTCCGCGCCTTTGCGTACACTCACGTGTGCACACGCTCGCGCACGCACACTACAAATACACACAGGCCCGCTCCCTGCGCTTCCCCACCCCCTCCCCCCCCAGTGAGGGGGGCGGGTCTTTTTCTCTTTAAAGAGCAGACGGTCTCCGCGCAAATCCAAGCTCTCTAAGGCCCCGGGGCCCGGACCCGAGCTCCACGCAGCCAATCAGCGTGGCGGAACGGCTCGAGCGCGGGTGACGCTACACCAATGGGCGACCGCGAGGGGCGGGGGCAGCGGAGGAGACACTATTGTTGATGAGGAGCGGCGGCGGCGGCGGCTGCACCACCTCGTTACTGCCGGCCGCGGCCCGGTCGCCTCATTCCCTGCACCCCAGAGTCCAGCTTCGTCACCCCAACGAGGGGGGGGAGGGCCTTCTCTCTGGCCTCGGGAATCCTCTCAGCATCCTCACAACAAAGCCCTCTCGTCTCGGCCCGGTCACCGGGGAGGGGAGGGGGACCATGTCCCAGCGGGTGAGGCGCAATGGGTCCCCCACGCCGACCGGCGCCCTCGGATGTAGTGCGGTCGCCACAGCCGGAGGACCCGGGAGCCGCCTGCAGCCCATGAGGGCCACGGTTCCGTTCCAGCTGAAGCAGCAGCAGCAACATGGCAGCCCCACGCGGAGCAACGGCGGCGGCGGCG